GTAGTCATATTTTAAATTTTTAGCTTGGTTTAACATTTTTTATCTGTTCTTTTCATTGCTGTTACATTGATAAGTAATGGACATCTTAAGGAAAAATGTACATGATGTTATATAAATTGTTTCATTATTTTGTTCTTCTGTAATTAATGGTTTTATAAATTTAATCAAATTGTTAGTTTGAAGGATATTAGTTTTATTAATTGCTGTTGATCTTGGTTCTAATTTATTTGTTTCTTTAATTTGAGTTATTCTATCTCAATAACTAGTCCTTACAGAATTGTTTTATTTGTTTAAAAGCAGGAATTACTTCTATTTTCTTTATCACAATTATGATGTGGTAAAATAGGCATTTAGGATCAAAATTGACAGTCATAACGGCCCCATTACATGGTAAAGTTTCTTGTCTAGTTTCTGGGATTAACTCACTTTAGTTGAAAATCTTATCCGTGTAAGTGTCAAAGAGATTTTTTAGGTCGTGGGATCACATTGTTCCAGCATGTTGGAAATTTCTGAGCAAATACAGCAGCACTCGTTGTATTCAGGAAACATACTGTGGATCCCATAATTTTTCTATTGTCAGTCTGACTGCATATCATAATATTATTACTTTTACTTACCTATACATGCAATGTATAGTAACGGTAAGTATAGCGATCGAGTCTAAGATTTCAACAGAAATACTTGTTTTAGGTTTCCTGAGTCCAAATAACCAAGTCCTGCAAAATGATCTGTGTGTGTGTGTGTGTGTGTGTGTGTGTGTGTGTGTGTGTGTGTGTGTTTTATCAGTCTAGCTCAAAAAATGAAAAGTTGTATGAAAGTGAAATCACATATTTAAGGTTTTTATAAGCTTTCAATGTTACAGCAACATTTTCTTTAAAATAGCCAAACTGGAAGTGGTACTTTATATAATCGATTTAACACATTTTTACGATTTTCTCAAAAATGGCTCTAACAATTTTGATTAAACTCAGTATATCAGTGTATTATTAAGCAGTTTTTAATATAATGTAGGTTTTATTCTCATTGATGTTCTCTATCAGGGCTTAAATGGCTAATTTTCAATATTGGCTTCCTCTAAAGTACCTTTATTTTTTTTTATTTGAAATAATTAACCATTTCACATTAATCTTTGATATAAAAAATAGTTAAATATAAAATATGAAAGAATTTGATAATTAACTAAAGGAGAAATAAGAGATCGTAACGGATAATAGTTGTAATAGAGGAATCAAAGGAATACGAGCTTGCCCGAGCTCGCCAAAAGATTACAACAGTCTTCCATACGTAACATGAGCTTCATATAATACGGACTCCGACAATATTATGTCATATACATATGCGGTTTTCATAAATGCTATCGTTGGTATTATTTAATATTTAATTGTATAGAATACAGCGATATAAAAATTAAAATTTGTATATATAAGAGTATTTAAACAAATAAAAATACCCACAATGAATTTTAAATAAATATAGTGTCAATAATTTTTTCTTTCGCTTCCCCTTTGTCAGAAAATACTTATTTCTGTTAAGTTAAGAAGAGGGTGATAAGTGAAAGTTTTGTGATGCACGCACCAGATTTATAGCAGATTTATATTATAGATTTATAGCAACAATGGCTGGGTGCACCTGTGACCAAGTTTTAAAATTGGTTGAAATGATACTGAACATACCATCTCTATACGACAATACTTAGCTTTATTGTGGGTTACCCCATAGAGTTGAATTATTAGAAATGCTAATTTTTTAATGCAAATAACAAACAAAACTAAACACACCACTCGATTTAATTTATTTATTTGGTAATTCATACATTTCACAACAACAAAATTCCAGCAACTTTATCAATTTCTAATTTAAGTGAAGTTGAAAAGGAAGGTTACTTTCTTGGCACACTTAGTGAAAAAATATGTTAACTACAGTCCCGACTTAATTTGAGAAACTGAACTGTGTAAAATGATCTGTGAAGTCTGTGGTGACCTCCATCTTGGTTAATAACCAGTATTTAATCAAAATTTCTAATACAAATCTTTGGTCGAGAAACTTAATGTGTAAAACGACCTTTAAACAACAATTTTTAGCAAATTAGCCAAGATATGCAATTTGGTGTCTTACAAACAAGAAAAATGTTCTAAATTAAAAACATTTCAAAATGTTAAACATTCAAGATAAAAATTGTTTAGCATTAAATTCTGCATGAAATGGGTAACTAATATTACAGTTTTGGTTAAGTATTGTTAATGTTTCGACCATTATCTTGGACAAAATTGTAATGTTAGGTACCCATTTGACATAGAATTTAATACTTTTTAAAATACTCATAAAATTTATTTAATACTTTAAATTCTCGCATTTTAGGGTTTTTTGACAATTAATTAAAAATTATATTTTTTAACTAGGGAATCATTAATAAATTCCCTCTTTGAAAGAAATAATTTTTAATGCTTTAAATTTATCTAGTCAAAAATATGCCTTCCATTACTTTTACTTTTAATTTTAATTATATTGGATCAAAAAGGCATCACAATATGAATTTGAAATGCCATTGAGAAGGTTGTTGATGAGTTGAATAAATGTTGCTGTTTCAAGTTTCCTAATTAGTTCATGCTTTTCAAAACTTAATATTGTATATATTCTTCTACTCTAAATTTTGCTGTTATAATTATTGTATGTCTTACAGCGGTTACTTTTTTTATTCTATTATAATAATTGGTTTTAATTATGAAAAATACTTATTTTAAATGGGAAAAACTCCGGGTGGATACTGCTTTAGGGGCGCAAGTTGAAAACTAGAGATTTAAGCATAACAATGTGGAACGTGAGGATTTTAAATACAGCAGGTGGGCTAAAATCTGTCACAAATGATGTTAATGGGTACAATTTAGATATCGTGGCATTTCAAGAAGTTCGTTGGCCAGGGGAGAGATCCATAAGGGAAGGTAAGTACACTTTTTGGTACAGAAGAAGCGGAAATCATTGTTTAGGTACTGGTTTTCTTATTAGGAATAGATTTCTATCTGCTTTGAGGGACATACAATTCTTTAGCGATAGGATTTTGTTGGCCATATTCCAGGAGCATTGGTTTAAAATTGCGTCTGACCGAAGACAGTGATGACAAAACCAAATGCAAAGTTTACGATAAACTGGAGTGGGTATATGGTAAACTACCGCAAAGCTGCTTGAAAATAATTTTTGGGAACGCTAACGCAAAGGTGGGAAGAAAAGAAATTTATTTTCCGACGATCGGTAAAGAAAGTTAACACGATTATAGTAATGATAATGGAATTCGGCTATCTCGAAGAACTTAATAATTAAAAATACTACATTTAAACATTAGGATATTTGCTAATATATTTGGACATCACTGGATTCGCAAATACAAAATCAAATCAATCACGTCTTGGTACAATATAGGTTGCAAAAGAGTATAATTAATGTAAGGTCTTATCGTGGAGCAGAATGTGGATCAGAACATGAATTAGTAATGGCAATCTTCGACAAAAACTTAATATAAAAAAGAGTAAAGAAAACTGTTTCGATCATGAGAGTTTTAATTTGGGTAAATTGGAAAATCTATCAATTAGAACTCAGTTCGAGCTTGAAGTTAAGAATAGGTTTGAAGCTTTAGAACCTTCTGAAGATGACTGCAGTGATGCGATATAGACAAGTTATGGGTAGGGTTCAGGGATAATATTAAAGAAGTCGGTAACTTATTTCTAGGAAATAAAGAAAATAAAAATAACAAAATGTGGTTTGATGAAGATTGCTTAAACGTGTGTTACAAAAGAAAAGCCGCTAAAATAAAAGCTCTAAATAATCGTTGCAAAAAAAATCTTGAATACTTCCGAGCCTTAAAGAATGAAACTTCTTAATTGTTCAAAAATATACAAAGGGAGTATCTTAAAAATAAAATTATAGGTATAGAAAATAATAGAATCGAAAACAACGTAAGAGACTTGTACAAAGGTATAAATAAATCAAGTAAATGTTTAGGGCCCGTAACGACTGGAATAAGGGATGAAAATGACAATATCCTCACTGACCCTGTAGACATATTGAGTAAGTTTAAGAAACACTTTAACAATATTTTAAATATGAGGAATAATGATCTGTGTCCTCCTCCTGACTAAAATCTTATAAAGCAGCAGGGACCAATGATATTCCTAATGAATTAATTAAGGTGTGTTGGGAAGCTGGAGTTTATAAAATACATCTTTTGGTTATTAAGATATGGGAGAATGAGAAATTGCCTGAAGAATGGAAAGAATCCATTCCTATTCCGATTCACAAAAAAGGCCCGAGGACGGATTGTAATACCTATCGAGTAATTTCACTCCTTCCGGTATGTTATCGAGGAATTTCACTCCTTCCGGTATGTTATAAAATATTCACATTAATCTTAACTGATCGAATCACGAAATATACCGAGGAAATTATCAGAGACTACCAATGTGGATTTAGGCAGAACCATCCGACTATCAATCAAATATTTCTTTAAGGCAAATATTATAATATAATTGAGATGATTAAGTTGAGACAAATAAAATGGGCATGTAAAATCGCTGGGCTTAGTAACAAAAGAATCCCTAAAAAGTTAATATACACTGTACCGACTGCTAATCATCCGAGGGGTAGACCAAAGCAAGGTGGGAAGATTGCGTTAAGGCTGATCTGGCGGGGGTAGGTTTAGATGAAGCCCAAGGGATGAAAGATTGTGGACATCGATTGGTGGTATCGGCATCGAACCTTCGGGTTTACTAAGCCTTCTTCTTATTATTATAAATGTTATTTAAAATATTATAATTTCAAAGCATCAATAATTTATTTTTCAGCTGCCAAATATCACTTGACAGATTTATTATTATTAAATATACATCTATAGTTTAAAAACCTATTACTAATTTTTTTTTCATATTAGATAGTATGCTAATTTAGGTATTTAAATTTATTTAACATGTTAAATTTAATTTAATCTCAATGTAATCATTTGTCCAATCTAGTCGAGCGTAATGGTGATGTTTGTATATCAATTCTTCATGAGCCTGGAGATGATAAATGGGGCTATGAACAAGCCTCTGAAAGATGGTTACCTGTACATACAGTAGAAACAATTCTAATATCAGTTATTTCAATGTTGGCTGATCCAAATGATGAAAGCCCTGCGAATGTTGATGCAGCAGTATGTTTAGTATTTTCTTTTTTTTAATTATAGCTTTTCATATTTTTTTTATTAACGTATTTAAAAGCTTTTTTATAATCAATATTGTTTAATATAAGATATGTGGTTGTTAAGTTATCTATATACCATTGTTATTAGTGACCTAAAGAATTATATTTTTCTTTTTAAGTGAATGAAACATATTAACAAATATTTAAGTTAAAATGTATAATAACAGTATGCAGAAGTGGAAAGATGAGATGTACTGTTTATGTGAATATTTAGTTACTTCAAACATATTTTCTTTAATATATAACAGGGTGTATAAAAAAAAGTAACCGTTTTATCAAATTCATGATTTCAAAGGACTGTAAATATTTTAATCCTATTTAATACTTATCAATACTTAATAATCCCTTTAGAGCATTCTCTAAGCTTATTTAATCCCATTCGACTTCTTCAAAAAAAGCCTCAGTTTAGTTATTTGTTTCAAAGAAGAAACATGACAGTGTCCTACGAAATTCTCATAATTTTAAGGCATTACTGGAAAAAAAATTTCACAGCCGCTGAAGCAACTCGTGAAATTATTAAATATGAAGGGGAAGGTGTCCTTGACCAGCGCACTGCGCGGCGTTGGTTTGAAAAATTTAGCAGTGGAGATACGACGTTGGAAAGGAAGAAGGGCTCCGAGCGACCATTAATGGATATTGATGAGATTCTGCAGGAAGCTATTGAGTCAAATCAATCCACAAGTACTCGTGAACTTGCCAGGGAGGGGTGTTGATGACCTCAGGGTTTTACGCCTCTAAGCCGTAAACAACAACTTGCTAGGGAATGTGGTGTGTCGAACTCTCCATGGGGAAGGTAAACAGCAGTAGATTGGTCCCTCACGAACTTACTCCTCAGCAATCAGCTAAGAGGTTAGAAATTTGTGAAAATTTATTGAAAAACCCTTCTGATATGAGATTTTACCGGAAGATTGTCACCTGTGATGAAAAGTGGATTTACTGGCGAAATCCGAATACCGTGAGCAATGGCTAGATCGTGGTCAAACTGCTTTTCCGGTTGCTGCAAGGAGGCAATTTGAAAAAAAAATCCATGCTTTGCGTTTTTTTTTAATTTTGAAGGTGTTATTCATCACGAATTTGTTCCTGATGGATGCTCTATGAATTCTGAACTCTACTGCGAACAACTGGAAAGATTGTATGCGAAGTTGTCAGAGCGTTATCCTGCTTTGATCAACCAAATTTCATTCCAACAAGATAATGCTCGTCCTCACACTTCCCGTCGAACCAAAGAAAAGTTTAAAGAACTTAATGGTTTCGAACTCCTGTCTCATTCACCATATAGTACAGACCTCACACCATCAAATTACTACTTATTAAGATCCATGGTCCATTTTCTTCAAGGAAAAAAATTGATAATTTTGCAGAAGTTAAAATTGAGAGTTCTTTAACAGCCATCCCTAAGAATGGTATCAGCGTGGGATCGAGCAATTGCTATTAATTAGCTAGCAGATGGCTATTGACTGTAGATAACAATGGACTGTACTTAGAGTATTAATTGTATTTTATATCAAAGAAATAATAATATAAATATTTTGTTGAAAACGGTAATTTTTTTTTTTATACACCCTGATTTGGGTATTAAAAATAAACTTTCTGTTTTTTGTCTTTTTAAGTTTGCCAATATTTATTTGAAATTCCCATTAACATAACATAGTTATAAACATGTCTCCATTAATAGGGTTTTTAATTGAAATTTGTCTTTGAAATACTTAATTATTTTAAGAAAATTAATTTAATTTCTTCGTTGAAAGTTGAAAAATAATTGTCCTTTTTTTTTTTTAAATAAAAAATTCATGTGATATTTATTTCATTTGAGGGTCAGCTCTAGTCCTAATAGTTTTTTTTTTATACATTGCATTTAACTCTCTTTGTTTCATTTTTAATCCATAATTAATTTCTTGAAGATAAGGCAAAATGTAACAAATGCCATATAAATTTTCTTATTAAAGAATAAAATAAGAAAGACTTTTATTTATTTGTTTTTGTTTTTTTTAGAAAGAGTGGCGAGAAAATTATATTGACTTTAAGCGAAAGGTAGCACGTTGTGTTAGAAAAAGTCAAGAAGAATGTATTTAGAAACAAATTTTTAAGGTTCGTAAGTAGGAAAATTAATTTAATTTTAGTTATTAATTTAATCGCTAAAAATTAAATAAACATTTTTAAAATAAATTTTTAAACTTATTTCATGAAATACATACCCCACTTTGGAAGGAGGTTGGATGGATAATTACAGGACCATTTGTGAAATATAACAATTAAGTGTTATTTATTATACTATATTCAATTTTGAATAAATTGAGTATTCAGTTTCATTTCTATGGCATATGTTAGTATTTTTTTAATCATTTTTTCCTTATTCGATAAAATATTATGTCATCATTTTCAACCTTTTTTTTTTTTTTCAATAGAACTTTGTCTAATAATATTTAGGGATCGACTAATAAGAAATTTTTATAAATATTTGGTTTGTTTGAAGACTTTTTAACACCACTGTTTATCTGTATCAGTCGATCCCTCATATAGTTATTTTGAAATTTCATTATTATTTATATGTTGATTCTGAATATTTATTTGAAATGTAATATTGCTATAATTAGTCCAATACATATATATATATACATGGAGGCCAGGATGGCCAAGTGGTTTAAATCTCACGCAAAAATTTACTTGCTTCACCATGGAGGCCATGGTCTGTAGCAATGTTAGGTTGGGTGACGCTCCCGTCTGTAAGAAGACATTATTGGATTGCCAAACATGGTCTAGAATGTCAACCCAAAATATGAAATATATATATTATGTTAATCAATTTTAAGCAACATCGAGCTTGGTTAGTATTTGAATGGATGAATGTCCACCAGGGAAAGCCATGCTGCCTGAGACTCCTCCCCTGGGTATGTGAGGCCCGTCATCCTATTAGAGGCAACTCACATGGACCGGGCATAGGACTGATGACTCTACCCCTAGTACTTAAATAGGGAATCGGAATGAGGTTTACCAGGATGTCAGTAGCCCCCCTGAGGTTTGGTCCCTGGATGGTCTGTTTCGGGGAAAGAAATATAGGTCCTCGTGTGCCTGCTGACTCTGACCAGCCATATTCCATGGATCTAGAACGATTTGTCACTGTCCTTGAACCCGAGTGAGTCGGTCGGAAGGTCACTGCCAGATTGGCCCCAAAGCGATCAGCTATAGAGAGAGCTACTGGTGGCCTGCCGCTGCACCATAGAGACCATGGTTCATAACAACATGAGGTTGAGTGACCCCCTCCAGGCTATCTGTGCTCCTGCAAGCAATATACATCTGTAAGGAGACCATATCTTGCAGTCAAAGATCTTCATGGTCTGTAGCGACAACCAAAAAAAAAAAAAAATATATATATATATATATATATACATATATATTATGTATTGTAAATGTTGCATAATTCATTAAAACTAATATCACTTTTATTTATTTTAGTGTCTCACCAGAGAAAACCAGCGCTAATTTTCTCTGTAAGAAGGTAAGCTACATACACATATGTGTTATTGCTCATCATTATTCATTTATTCATATCATATTAATTTATTTTTATCATTTCTCTTAATTATGTTTATTATAATGCATTGTTTATTGATTATAATTTATATTAGCATTAAAAAAAAAAAAGTTTAAACAAAATAATTTCATTTTTTTCTAATACATTTGTGAACACATCTTCCTTTTTTATATTATTCATTATCCATTTTTTACCTCATCTTCACGATCATAATATTATATTTTGTACACTTAAGATAGCTAGTAACTCATCATTAGTAAAACACCACGAAACATTGATTCGATCTGTATAAAATGAATAAATAATAATAATAAATACAATAAATAGTATTTTAAAAAGTAGACTTAGTTCACAAATCAATTATAACCAGAATAATAAATCTTCATAAAATAATAAAACTATTATTATTGTTGAAGAGAACGATGGTTGGGGTGATCTGTCAAAATAAAAAATAGCAAAATAAATAATTTTTATTTTTTTATTTATTTATATGATATTTACAACTGTATACAAAAAATACATTAGATAAATTCACACATGGATACAATGACATGAAACACATGTTGCAACTACCCATTGGTAGCACTCTATAAATAAATAATAATATTTATTTTTACATTTGTTGGTGTTTCTTTTTGCTATTTTTTATTTTGACTGATTACCCCGACCATTCTTCTCTTCAATTATTCACTACAGTCAACCATTAACCCACAATTATTATTATAATTCTTCCAGTTGTTTGATTGGTAAATAAAACCCTGAGTAAATGAAACTCTAAATGTGTTATACTTCTATCAATGTGTTTCTAGCTCTTAAGTAGTTTTGGGGACACCCAATAGTTGATTGGATCACATTATCTTTCGTATTGCCATTGGTCTAGAAACAATGCGTTCTTACTCAAGACCCAAGATCTTTCTTGGGTTGTAGTGGTACAGGATTTACAGATAAAATGGTAATTCACCTGTGTTTTACTTATACATACAATATAATAGTACAAAGCATTATATTAATGTAATAACCACCTCCCTGAAAGCTTAATTTCATTTTTTCTTTTTATCAACTATAAACTTTTTATTTATTAAACTTTTGTTAAATTCTTTGATGTAAATGATGTCTATAGATGTTCAGTATTCAGGGGTTTAGAAGCAAGTGACGTCCACACCTTTCATATATGTTTCTGATAATCAACAAATAAAGATATGTGTTAACATAAATTTTATACTTTTCCTTTTTACTAAATAATTCTCAAATTTTTTTTTTCATAAAAAAAATACTTTTCTTTTATATCTATGTTATGCATATTAGAGAAATCTTAAGTTGTGTAGTACAAATTATAGCTAAAGATATTGTGGGGAATTTGTCAAAATATGGATTACTTTAATTCTCTCATCATCGAAAATTTCTTAAGAGTTATTAAATTAAGTATTAAAAAAAATATTAGTTTATGGTCTTCCTTATCATTTTAGCTTTAGCTTCAAATGGCAGTGGGTCCATTCAGTACAAATCATAGCCTTTGTGGCTCAGTTCAGTACTTTAAGATAGAGTAGTACTTCTTTTCATCTAAAATTAACTATAGTCTTAAGGTCATATTGGCTGGTCTTATTAAAGAACATCTTAACTCTTTTTGGAATGAATTTAATTTTCTACCAAATCTTCTATACGTATGCCAACTGTCCCCTCTGAGGCTTGTTTGGCTTATAATTCAATAATAACTTATTATAATTTTATGACAGCCTTTGGTTTTTTATTAGTCTTTTTATATTTATATGGCTACTAAAAAGAGTTGTCAAAATCTTAGAGGGCTTCTTGAAAATTACTTTTTACATTTATACGGAAATTTTTTTTCAGAGATAGTGAAACTTTAACCATTTTTATTTTCCCAAACTGGGTTTAATTATTGTTTTGAAATTGAAAATTGAAATAGAGAATTTTAATAAATTGAAAAAACAGGCACAGAAAATCTGTAACCAATATGTAAATTAAAGATTCTTAAAGAGATTGTATGTTTCGAATTGTAATCATTTACATTATGATCTTGAAAGAATTAAGAATAAAATCCAAAAGCACTAACTTAAGCATGTAAAAGAACTTTTTATGATAAACATTTAGGCTCCTTAAAAAAAAAATTGATATATAGAAAGTTAGTAATTTCTTATTATTGTGATACTAAAACCAACTACAGTTCCTTTTAACCCTTAATAATTTTGGTTTACGAGCAATGTTCAATAACAATTAAAATAAAGTTAAATTGAATTTAAAATGAAAATTTCCCTCTGGCAATATATTCAGTGAATCTCTCTCCCTCTCTCCCTCCCATCATACTAAGTGTTTATTGTTGCCTACGTTCTTTGCAAGAGATCATATTTCTGTTCATTTAAAATGTCAAAAGTTTATTCATCATTTTTATCAAAGTTGAAATCTTGGATTGAACCTTAAAACAACAATCATACATGAAACAGTTTCTACAACTGATGGAATTCCAGTAGTACCAGGCTAAGTGGGTGAAACTTTAAATGAAAAAATGGATATAATGTTTTGTTATTTTCATTCTTTAGTTTTGATATTTAAAAAAAAAAAAAAACTGGAATTATTTTAATTTCTAATCCCTCCATAATTTCATTTTTAGTTCAAAAAATTTTTGTAGGCAATCATTATATTTAAATATGTTACTGACAGATTAGTAATAAAGTAATTAGTAAGTTTAGCATATTTAGAGATCAGTTACTGCATTTTAAATATGTTTTTTTACTGCATATTTTATGGCATGTGCTGTGGTTTTTTTTACTGCATAGAAATCCGGCCTTGGTTATGAAATATTTTCAAGAAGAAATATAAATCATATTTTTTCCATTTCTGCACTACTAGAATGCACTGAAGTACACATAGAAATATAATATGCATGATAATTTAAAAATGAAAAATTCTATCTTACGATAAATTTATATTTTTCTTTCAGGGGTACTCATTCGTTCTTGATGTCCCCCAAAAGGATTCAAACTTTCATCTGCCTCTACGAATTTGGACATTTGTAAAAATCACAAAATGTTAGAATTAATAAGGATGAATAATCAGGATTATTTTATATTGATATGTAAAAAGGCGGGAATTTCTTAGTTTTATAAGTTATTGCTAGAGAATCGTTAACGAAATGTAAATTAGGTAGATACAATGTATATTTAATTATGAATGCATGTAACATGCATTATGTCTGTAATTTTATTCTATCATACATAAATTTGTAGTCCACTTAGTTTATATAACAAGACATGAAACTTTTAAAGAATCCATTTTTAACATCATTGAGTAATTTAAATTGTTTCGTATCTTATTTTAACTTGTTAATAATATTCTTATTCAAGTTTGATCTACTGCCAATTTCTGTTGCTTTAGATTAGTTAAATGATGTTCATAATGATAACTAATAACTGATCAAAAAATGATTACTTTGAGATTAACTAAATAACTGTTAAAATTAAATTTGTTATTGGATTAGTCCATCCTATTTTACTATCATTCTTTTAATTTAAGATTCTTTAGTCAATTTTAATGTTATTTTTTAATAATTAAGGTTATTAATTTCTTATTATTGTGTATTTATTCAAATTAGGTTGCCTGATTTTTTTTGTTTCATGTAAGTTACTATACTCATGAAATTATAAAAAACTTTGATAAATCTTTATTAATTTATGAATTGTGCGCTTTCTGAGCAAACTGATAAGTACTGAAATGCGCAGAACTATTTATTACAACCATGTATGAATTTGTAATTTTTAAAAAATATAATCATTGTCATAAAACAAAGTTAGAAATTAGCTATGGATTCAGTAAGGTGTTCTAATATTATTATTGATATGTTTGTGTGCGTTTTGTAACTTAAGAGTGATAAATGATTTTTTTTTTTTTTTATATATTTTTAATTTTTCACTGTTTGTTTTTGCTCTGTTGCATGAAATTACATGATTTTTTATTAATACATCTTGTATTTGCATTTTAAATTGAAACAAACAGAGAAAAAAAAGAGGTGATAAAAGCAACATTAATCCATAGTTTAAACAGTCTTCCTCTTTTGTGTTGTAACCACAACTATTCTATTGTTTGCTTAATGTTTAGACTTAACTCTTGATTTGCTAATTAAAACTTTTGGAATATTCCTATAGAAGTAATTATATTTCATTTCCAATTATTTGTTATAAACAATTGTTTCAATATGAATACTTTGAATTATGTTAAATTTTTCTCTCTTAAGCATTTATTAGTTATAATACTGATATTGTTGGAATGCCAATGTTTTTCTTTTTCTTTTTTGATGTTGAAGCTTGGTACAGACATAAGTAATAGTTTGTATTGTACCTATCTATCTCATTTCTGTTAATTTGTTTTCGTACATTTTCATAAAATTTTGAATCAGTGCAAGCCAATTCTTACTTCTACTGTACTAATCATTCAACCAAAACAATTTTTTTTTTATTTGGGAACTGTAAAACTTAACATGTTTTAAATTGATTACATAAGTGATTGCAAGGAAATACAATATAGAATGAGGAAATATTTAATGCCTCCTAATATTTGCATTCAATGTTTTGTAATAAAGTATTTTTGTCGGAAGCTCATACATTCGAAAACCTCTACTGACCAAATAACCTTCTTCCATATTTCCAGCTTTGTCATTGTATTTATATTTATATATATATATGCTGATAGTTACTACCAATGTTGAACTAATTTGTATTTTATCAATTAAACTTAGTGCCATGTTCTATTAGAAATGGAAAAATGGTACCAATTCGTTTTATTCAAGCATTACCAATTTATGTTACATGACGTGTCCTGTACTTTACTGCTACTTGTATGAATGGAGGGGGGGGATGAATCTAAATCTGACTTGTGGCCTTCTGGTTCGTTTTAGCACCTCTAATGGAAAAACTTTTCTATGGAAACCTTTTCTCACTCCATCTCAAACCTTTTGGTTTTCATAAGGAAATTTTAAGGGGGTGATCATTTAGTGGAAGGAATGTTATCACCTTGCTAAACATAAGTATTTCGATATTGAACTATAAAATTAATGAATTGTAATCTAGCCTAACATTAAAACTTCCATATTGAAGAGGAAAAGTAAACCAAATATAACCTAACCTAAACAAAAGCGTTATCACATTCAGCTATTTCCAGCACTCCTTATAGAAGTGTGATCTTGACCTATGTAGTCATCCATACAGAGCACTTGTGAACTATACTTTGACCACGATTAATTAACAGCCTGAATACAAATTCCTGCGCAAAGAAGTTTTATTTTTTATTTAACTCAGCTTTGATATTGCTTAAAAAATATCTACTAATGTATACATAAATTAAAAGATTATATCATATTTAAATAAGTATATAATATAATTGTTAAAATTTTTTAAGAAATATCGGAGAGCTAGAAAAAACAAAATGTACAGTCTGGTAACGAATCATGGTTGAACTGTAGTACTAAATTATTTTTATTGAGGTGACTAAATATTACGTGAAAAATCTTAATATTTTCATCAAAAACTGTACGCATTTACACCATTTGATAAATTTTCCAATAATTAAGGTATATATGAAATGAATTTAAAAAACAAAAAAAGTAATATATTCTTCCAGAATATATAACTTATATTATAGAATGAAGAAAATATATATTTGGCTTGAAAACTCGGATTATAATTTTTCATGATTGCAATACTTTTTTTTACTATATATTTCAAATATGGGTTCAGTATTGTGAGTTCAAATTGTTTCCAAACATTCAAAGGCTTTCACTGACTTATTTGAGCCATCATATTTAAAAATCGGTTTATCAGTTCAATTAAAACATAGTAACATAACTAGAAACAAAGGTATTATTAAGCACATAGTACAATAATTTGTCACCACATTCGTTTTAGTCGCTTGAATTGACTAAAAAAAATATCATGTTCCAATTAGTTGTTTATGTTAGTTGTGACTAATAAATAAAAAATAAATCCTTAGTCATGATTATTTTTTTTGTGAATACAATTTTTTTTTTTGTTATTTAAAAATTCCATCTAACTCTTCTAACAAGATGTACTTAATGAATATATTTATACGGGGTAACCTTTAAGTAGAGGTAAATATTTATTGGAGTTATAACAGACATCAAGTGCTACAAAAGGGTTTATATAAACAACCTTCACGATTTTGGGCAGAAAATTAGGAAGTTTGAGTTTTGTATTGTTTAAGTAAGTCATGTTTTAATTTAGGTAATTAACAATTGTATCAAGGTTAACTAGAAAACATGTACTTCAAATGAAAGTAGTTTGCTATTGTTCAAACCATTTGAAGAAGACTTTTGATCTGATAAACTAAGCTAACTTCTAAAACAAATCATGAATTATTTGCAATTTTTTTTTATCACCCTCCAACTATACCACAGATACCTCACTTCTTAAAAAAACTCTCCTGTTTAATAAACTTTAAGTGCAGAGTTAATTACGAGATAAGTTGGGATTCACCTCTAGTTGTGTTATAAAAATTTGACTGCTCTTTTTTAAAAAAACAGTGCAGGTGAAAGTAGCATTGAAACATTGAAGATAACATAAAATTACGCTTGCTGTTTATGTTTTATGTTTATCCATTTCTCTCGTGCTTTTAAAGTTCCTCCAATTTGAATCCCTTCAAAAATTTAATCACTTTAAATGTGAGCCCTCCTCAAACAATTTGATGGCGCAACCTGTGCCATAAAATCCTCTTCTGGGCAGTAGCTGATTCAGGATTTAATTTTTGGGAACTTCAGACCGAGAGCTTTTTCATTTTATAGTTTTTATTTTTACCATTACATAAATCTTTAAGAATAGAGCCAATATAAATGTTAATTGTTATAAAGTTTATGCAGCATTTTAAAGTAAATAAATAAAGAATACAGTGAAAATAAACCCTCTTTAAGTCTGTGTCAGGAAGTAACTGAACTATCAATAGTGTGATACTATCGCCCATCCCTAGCAAGTTGTTATGTCCATCGATCTATATCCCTGAGATAACATATCATTCATGATTATTAACAGATGATATATCTATTATTCAATTTTGTCTAATTCATAATAATTATTAGAGAAGGAGTTGATCAGAGGGTGCGGTCAAATAAATACTAAATTTTGTCAGCTTTAATTTTCTATATGACAATGTTTCGTCTGTGACTCCTCATTTTCAAGATATGTGAGAAAATATGGAAAAAGTGACCTTTAAGGCGCCTCCCCACCATGAAGCGGAAGGGGTAGAGGCGAGGACTTTTAGTATGTTTACCTCCGAAATGTCCTCAACAAATTCTTTAAGTCAATTGCTTGTCCATCCTCTATGCACTCTACAACCTCTTCTTTGACTGGACTAGCAGGGCAATTAGTCTAGTAAAACTAGGAACTGACCTCAACATTCAAAACATAAAGATGCACCTTGTCAGAAATTGTTTATTACTTCCTCTCCATAATAACTTGTTAAAAGTACCAAAGAATCCCGCGTCGGGTTTTGATGTGGAGAGGACAGAAAACTGATATTTTTTTTTAGCTTTATGAGGATATCTCAAATCTACGAGTTTTTTCGCAAAGACTATTCAGTATGATATTAAAGTACTTTAAAATCTCTATAAAAATGATCCTATACTTTTTTTTTTTTTTTTATGTAAAATCAATGTTTACGGAGATATTTTTTTTTTTTATTTCTTTATGACATTTACAACTGTATTACATAAATACATCAAGTAAATTTGGACATAATTGATATAATGACATGAATACACTTGCTGAGTAACTACCCAATGGTAGCACTCTAATGATATGACTACATTAGGAGATCACGGGGCCATCTTCTTTTCAGATGCCTCGGAGGGTTATCAGGAATTGAAGAGGAATCAAGGTTAGAAACGAGAGGGTTGAGATGACTTTGAAGTTTATTATGGAAGGATAGGTATCTGGATTGGGCCAGATCTGAAACATAAGGAACATTAAGATCTTTATGGATAATTTTATTAGTGACAAAGTAAGGAGCATTGAGGATTTTACGAAGGATTTTGGATTGTAAGGATTGGATGCGAGAGGAATTCGATGGTTTAGTGGAGCCCCATAGCTCAACTCCGTAAGTCCAAATAGGTCTTATTATAGTCAAGTATATGAGTCTTTTGTAATTAATGGGAAGTTTAGAGCGTTTGTCTAGTAAGTGCTGAAGTAATCGGAAACGTCGAGCGGTTTCTTGTTTCAGTCTAGTATGAGAATTCCAAGTTAGTCGTTTGTCCAGGTGGAGTCCTAGGTATCGGATTTGCTCAACAGGGATAAGTGGAGTATTATTAAAGGAAACTGTAGGACAGGAAGTCGTTGGTTTACGACGAACGGAGATATTTATGAGATTATATTTATTGTATTTCCAATTTAAGCAAAAATTTCTCCTAAACACGAAATTGATGTTCATAGTAGATAATACCGTTTTGATTAACACATTAATTCTTTTGTTTAACATTTTCGATCGTTCATATTATTATTCAAAGTTTATTTGTTTTGATGATTCTAAAAAGCCATTGACAACCGAATAATATTCGATATCAATCAATGGTGAATTTCGTGGTATTGATATGAAGTTTAGATCGACATTCATTTCATATAATTGATAATGTGTGATAACAGGCCTGAAAAACCTATAAAAAGTTACTATTAACCATGATTAGATTACATTCAGAAAACTAGCAAACTTAAATTTTTAAGTCAACCATGTTGTATGTTGAATAAAAAGCAATAACTAAGAAAATGTTTTAGTTAGATTACAACCAATTACTTCACAGTAAACTAGATAAAATTTAAATTAAATACAAGTAAATTTTGTCTTTTTTAAAACCATTGAAAGGAAATTCTTAAGCAGTTAAACTACGTTTAGGGTTGGTTTTTCATAAAATTAAGGATCCTTCACGATTCTATTTATAGTCACCAGCTGGACTAAAGATACCAACATTGTTTAAAAATCTTGTTCAATGATCTTTAAGTCTATATTAATTAAAATGAGGTTCGTTGCATATTAAGTTAAAATTCATCTCTAATTGAGTAAAAAGATTATTAGTGCGGTAAAATTATAATATTCTTTTTACTCAAATAGAGATAAATCTCAATTTACTCTACAACAAACCTCAACTTAATTAATATAGACTTAATGCTCATCGAACATGGAAGTTTTTCAAAAAGTGTGGAACCTCCAGTCAAAGTGGAGGGCTATAACACTAAATCGCTAAGAATCCTTGATTTTATGAAAACTCCAACTTAACCGAAGTTCAACTGCTTAACAATTTCCTTTAAATGGTTTTGACTTCAATTTGTGTATATATATATATATATATATATATATATATATATATATATATATATATATATATATATATATCTATGTATTGAAATTAGATTGTGTACCAACTCCCGCCTTCATCGGCCATGTCTATTCTATTCTATGCTAAGATGTGTTCTCTTCAGGGGTGCCCAGAGGGGGGTTTCATGTCGCAAGTTGCGCTATCAATATTTTTGAAGTTTGCACATTTTTTAGGAGTTTGAATGTTTATAGGAGACACATTTTGATAAGGTTGTGATTTTTCGTAATG